AACATTGTTGTTACAACTACTTTCAAGCCCCTTTCTAGTACTTTTCCATTCAATATAATCAATAATCTTCAAAACAAATTAAACCCAAAGCAATTATGTTGGAGCATTTGAGCAAAAGGAACACGGAGCACAAATATATGATCCGAGCAGCAAATGAACAGAGGTAGTTGTTGCTCTGGGCAACGTACATTTGAAGCAATGGCAAAATCAATAATGCTTAAAGGACTGGGCACTGAACTAAAGCATTCTACAGACTACACAAAGTGAATTCTAGGGAATATCCAAGAATATGGTATCCATTTTGTAATGAAATGGATTGGCTGCCATACACGCATGCAATGTCTAAATTAAAACAACAGCAACTAATGTCTAGTTCCTAATGGAGATAAAAGCAGATCTAAAGAAAACATTCACTGATGAACTCATCTTTCTTGTCTTAACCCTTTTTTTCTGGGAGAAAAAAAATCCAAGGAAATTCATTAGCTATCTTAAAAAATTTTTTTACAGCTTTTTGAAAATTGTTGGACAATGTCCAATGAACTGAAGAAACAAGGATGAAGAAATAAGAAGTTAAATTAAAATTACTTAAAATTTATGCCTTTCATAAAAATCTCTATGTGAATTAAGCAGAATTTGTAAAAGAACCCTCTATAACATAAAAGCATTCATGTACATAGAACATTCATTCATTTTACACAATGTATTGTTTTGGTTCTTCCACTACTTTTTAGATTTTGATGGCCTTGTGTTTTCCTGATTCTAGATTTATCTTCTTTTTATCAATGCTAAGATTTTTTCTTTTTCTTATACAAATTCTTCAATGATAAACGTGAACCTCTTTTTTCTATCCATCCTATAATCCATTATTGTAACATTGTGGGAATAACAGGTTTTTTTTTCTTGCTGATCCATCTGCATGCTTCCTTTCCTAATAATCTCTCATCTTTTCTATTTTTTTAACAGATGAATTTTATCCATTGAGTTGTGAAAAAAATGTTATGAGAATTACAGGAATCTTTATTTATTGATGTTGTAAGCAGTGTACTCATAGAAGCTTCTCAGCTGCTCCTGGCTGGCTTTATCCACCATCAGAATCTGCAGCCAAGCAGGAGCAACCAAGCAGACCCTCTCTTGTCTGTCTCCTAGGCAGTATGTCTTCCCCCTCATCCTCCAAAGTTGACACATTCCATTACAACCATACAGCAGATTAGCAAGAACAACCTCCAACTCCTGAAACCCAGCCAGGTCCATCAGTCCCAGGGCTGGACTTATCTAATGAGTCCGGTCTCTATGTAGTGGATATTTGCATTACGGAATCCCATGGAAATCAGGGCATGATATGACCATGACAAGAGAGAGACCAAGACCTCACACACACACACAAACACACACCCCCTTCAGATGACATAGCCACTGCTGTGGAAGCGACAACAAATCTGCTATGAGCTCCTTGTCCTGTGCTGGGCTCTGGATGATCTGGGATAGGCCCATGGTGACAATGAACTCTGGAGACATTTCAGACTCCATTTCCAGAAAAAGAAGTCCCCCAGAACCAAGTTTGGGGAATTTCACTGCCAACTGAGAAATTAAGTTCAGAGAAAGAGGTTATGCAGCAGAGAGGATTGTACAATAGCAATAATTCTAACTGATCCCTAGAAACCAACTTAATCAACAGGATCTCACATCTGGGGACCTGTGGTACAGCATTCCAGAAAGCCATAAAAAATTCCTAAATGACAACAGCCACAATGCCACCCGTACCCTGGAATCTTGGCTGATGCCACACTTGAAACCCAGCTGGGCATATCTTCAAAAGAGCAATCCTGTTCCAGAAATAGTGATACATGCCAAGCTGGCTCTCTGCATTAAATCACAAATGAAGGAGGCCTTATTACAAAATGACCTAGAATTTGGTAACAGCAATGGGAAGCCAGGGCCATGTTTGCAGAAACAGTACTGGAATTGAAACCCAGAAACTGGCATAAGACAACAGTCCTGTGTTGCCAAAGAGTGGCCAACTCCTTCTCCCATATTTTCCTTTACCCATCACTGCCATAATACTATAGCCTTCCACCACTAAAATTAATTAAAATAATTAAAAACAAATTAAAAAGTATAATATTATAACAAGATGGGAGAGTGCAGTCTAACTACATATGTAACAGGCTCCTCATTTCCTTGGGATCCCTAATTCCAGTGGTGAGTTTTAGAACAATGAAGGTGCTAACTCTTAAAAATAAGATGGAAACACTATTTTATTAATTAATGTGACATAATCAAAATGTAATTTAATTTAATTTATTAATAATGAGCCCAAGGGCTATCCAAATATGTCACACAATGCCACAGAGAAATTTTGAAAATCCAGGCAGAATAATATCTATGAATAACAATTTTGCTGACTTTATTCCTAAAATATTATACAATTGTGGATATTATTTGGAACAGTTTTTCATTTAAGTACATTTCACCTTGAAGTGTGTCTCTACAATATGGTCCAAAAAGAAAAAAGAAAAAGTGTAAAACAGAACAAAAACTGCTAAAGAATTCAATCTAGGTCATTTGTACAAACTGTGCCTCTTAAAAGAAATAAAAGAAACTAGTCATACATTCATTTTGCATTTTAAAGATAAGTAACCCATGTTTTTAATTGCCTGGCCTAGTTAATTTTTCTTTTGCTTAGACAGTATAACTTCATGATTATTATTGTTAGTCTTAAGGGAAGAACTATTCATTTTATATCTTATTTATTCAAGACAGTTTTACAGCCGAGCTCTCACAATATCACCCTAAAGTTTCTGAGCCAAGGACTAAAGTCCATACAAGAAGAATGAGATAAGATATGTTGGATATATCAGAAATTATAAGATAAAAATTCTGACTCACACGTGTCATATAAACCCTTAAGAAATGAAGCAACAAGCATTGAAGACCTTTTTAAAATGGCTTATATAAGGAGTTAAATCAACTGCAATTGAATTCCATAAATACTGGATCAAGTCAATTTTGTTCCTTGTGTAATAGATGTTATTAGCAGACCTGAAAAAAGAAATTAACGTATCTGCAATGTTATATAAATGAATGTGGATATTAAGGTAATAGGTTCCAAACTCTTTGGAGATTTAAGACTAACATATGCAATTTGAATTGATAACCAATTCAACTGAAGTAAAATTCAGTTTGATAATGCACTAAGAATCTCTAACTCCTTAAACATCTAAGTGGTCACATCTTTGAGCTGCCTAGATTAACGAAGATCAATTTTGGCTGTTGATGTACATACCAGAACTGACAAAAGGCTCTCCTGTCATTGTGTCTCTTCAGACATCAAAACAAAATTGGGGGTACTCATTACATTTGCAGACAAGACCAAGCTGTCAGTAATAGCCAACACGATTCAGAAGGAACTTGACAGACTTGAATACTGGGCACTATCTAACAAAATGAAATTTAATGGTGAAAAAAGTAAGGTTCTACATTTAGGCAAGAGAAACCAAATGCACAGGTACAGTATAGGTGGTATCTTACTCAACAGTAGTAACTGAGAGGGATCTTGGAGTCCTAGTAGACAATCATTTAAATATGAGCCAGCAGTGTGCTGCAGCTGCCAAAAAAGCTAACACAGTTCTAAGCTGCATAAATAGAGGGATAGAATCAAGATCACGTGAAGTATTATGGAGCCTCTGTGGCACAGTGGTTAGAGTGCAGTACTGCAAGCTACTTCTGCTGCAGCCAGCTGCCTATAATTTGGCAGTTCAAATCCCATCAGGCTCAAGGTTGACTCAGCCTTCCATCCTTCTGAGGTTGGTTAAATGAGGGCCCAGATTGTCGGGGCAATACAATGACTCTGTTAGAGAGGGCTGTAAAGCACTATAAAGCGGTATATAAGTCTAAGTGCTATTACTATTAATAACACTTTATAATGACTTGGTAAGGCCACACTTGGAATACTGCATCCAATTTTGGTCACGATGGTGTAAAAAAGATATTGAGACTGTAGAAAGAGTGCAGAGAAGAGCAACAAAAATGATTAGGGGACTGGAGGCTAACACATATAAAGAACAATTGCTAGAATTGGGTATGTCTAGTTTAATGAAAAGAAGGACTAGGAGTGACATGGTAGCAGTGTTTCGATATCTCAGGAGCTGCCACGAAAAAGAGGGAGTCAAACTATTCTCCAAAGTGCCTGAGGGCAGGACAAGAAGCAATGGATGGAAACTAATCAAGGAGAGAAGCAATCTAGAACTAAGAGAAATTTTCTGACAGAACAATTAACCAGTAGAACAACTTGCCTCCAGAAGTTATGAATTCTTCAACACTGGAAGTTTTTAAGAAGAAATTGGACAACTATTTGTCTGAAATGGTATAGGATTTTCTACCTGAGTTGGACTAGAATTTCCAAGGTGCCTTCCAACTCTATGATTCTGTTCTGTTCTGTTCTGTTCTATTCTCCTTACATTAAGAAGTCCTTCAGATTATGCATGTTGCCAGATATTAAACCAGGGATATAAATAACATACTATTATAACTTACAGAGGTAAATGGATTTTTGGTAGTATGTTTTCGTTGAACTTAATATGTATTTTTGTTTGCATAGAATACATTTGCCCCATCTGGAACTTGGAACAAAATTGTTTGTCCTCTATGCAACGGTGCTGCCGGATACAAAATTATACTTCAGACAAGAATGCAGTAGTTTTTAATGTGTGATTTGCACCTCTTTGCATGTTTATTTTATTTATTCATGTCACATTTTTTCATTGTTTTTGAGAGGTGAGTTTTTAATCTATGGTTAATATATAAAAATATATATTTTTAAACATGAGGTTTGTCAGGTGAGAAAGATTCAGCTGTGATAGTTCCTTCACCATTAAGATCTAGAACACGTTCCATATTCTGTTTCTTTACATAAAATATTTTTAGGCAATTCTCAACTAAAAGAATTGTTTGCAGAGAAATAGAAGTGCAGCTGATAATTGCATATAACAAATAGTACTCACCTGGAACCTGTGAACCAACTCCAAAGACTGGCTGTCATTTTGGTCAGCTTCAATTAGGACATCTGTCAGTTTATGTATGATCACATCTAATGGGCCCTGATCTTCTATTCGTTTGGTAAGGTCGAGCTGAGAAAAATGTGATGATGAAAGAAAAAAAGAGGATTATTCTATAAAGTACTAAATCTGCCCTTCCAATATTTCCTTATTGCCCAATAACTTAATTAAGAATATTTTCCACCTCCCTCCCACTTGGTCTCACCTTCCCCATTTTTGATTGTAGCCTTTGGCTTGTATTAACTTATTTATGGTGTGTGTGTGTGTACGTGTGCATGCGTGCGCGTTGTTCATACTATATAACAATGACTTCTATATGGAACGTTCACCTACAACCATGAGTTACTTTATAAGCAAAGCTGTTGTCAGGCAAGGATGGGAATTGTAGGATATCATTATCTGGAATCTAAGCTGGGTTATGAGGGTGACTCAGACAACAAGTTGTAGACCCTGCAGCACAGAGTATTTTGTCACACTGTAAACACTTCAAAACTTTTCAGTTGTGGTCCTGAATGCTGAACTTGAAATGTTGTGTGTGCAAAGCCTAGCTTCTGTTATTTCCACTATCTATATTTCATGCTGAAATTTTCTGAAATAGTTACAAACAGTGAGTATTCAAGGCAGTTAATAAAAATTAATTTCAAAATAAAATAAACCAAGCTTGTATTCACATTTACTTTAGCTATATGAACTACAAAATACTTCATTTGGATATCAAGCTAAGCCTTACAGTAAATGTGAATGTGTCATAAATGCACTGCTTGCATCCAACTGCCTCTAATTCTGCTTGGCTAGATATAGGTTTCTCACCAGTCATAGCTGAAAACTTGGACACTTAATCCTTTATTCAGGAATTGGTTTACTCACCAGAAGGCTTATGGACATGACTCAGCAAGATTAGTCTTTTTGGACAAGAGTGAAGCTAAAGTTAAACTCTACATATAGGTTCATGTTCCATTATTTATAGATTTTTTCTCCTGATTTTCTTACTCAATAGTCCCTTAACTAGTTTTTTAAAGGATTTTGGAAAGCATTTGATCTAAATTGACAGAATGGTTTTCCCAAGTCCTGTCTTGCCTATCTTATTTTTATAGTTAGCATACAATACATTTACTTTACATGAGATCACAGAAAATTTTGCCACATTATGTGTAATGTTTCTCATTTGACAGGAATAAAAAGGTGTAGAATTGCTCCAAGTGATCTGGGAATTGCGGGGAAAGATGTATAAATATACTTAGCATGGGACTTGTTATAAAAGGTATAGTATAAGGATTGCTTAATGTTCAAGATTGATCCTGATTCAGAGGAGCTGATAAATCCTAACCCAAACTAGGCTGGTAACACTATAGATAGGAATACATCAAACCTTCCTTTTACATATGATCTCCTATATTTTAAGATTTATAAGTAAAATGAGTACCTATCAGACTTCCCTCTGAAGTAAATAAAATTTTGCTGATTTCATCTGTTTGACGGATTAATTCTTGATGATGGCCTATCTCCTCGGTTGATTTTATTTATTTTATATTGCCGCCTATTCGCCCATGGTGACTCGAGGTGGCTTACACAATGTAAAACCATATTTAAAACAAAAAATAAAAATAAAAACCAATAAAAACTAACAAAGAATCAAATAAATTAATAAAGTACAATAGAAAAAAATCTGGGGAAAAAAACACCCCCACACCTACCCCCTGCCCCATCAACAGCAGATCACACTAGGCATTTGATAGGCTGCACCCCGCTCTGGTTCCTCAGGCCCCTGGCAAAACCAGGTCTTCAGTGCCTTCCGAAGGAATGCTAGAGTGGGGCCATTCTAATCTCTGGGGGAATGATGTTCCAGAGAGAGGGAGCCACCATGGAGAAGGCCCTTCTTCTAGGTCCCACCAGGTGTATCTCCCTCAGGGATGGACCTGCAACATTCCCTGACTTCCTGCTCTAATGGGTCAGGTAGATGTGACCGGCAAGAGACATTCCCTCAGATAACCCAGTCCCAAGCCATGAAGGACTTTAAAGGTGACAACCAGCACCCTGAACTGCACCTGGAAGCAAATCAGCAACCAATGCAGCTCCTACAGGAGAGGTGACACATGTACATACTGGGGTCTGCACAAAACCATGCGGGCTGCTGCATTTTGCACCAACTGGAGCTTCTGGGTGCTCTTCAAGGGCAGTCCCATGTAGAGTGTATTGCAATAATCAAGACAAGAAGTGACCAGGGCATGAGTGACTGTGAGTAGGGACTGTTGGTCCAGGAAAGGGCATAACTGGTGCACAACCCGCAGTTGCGCAAAGGCCCATGTGGCCACAACCAACACCTGCTCTTTAAGCAGGAGTGGTGAGTCCAGGAAAACCCCTAGATTATGCACAGGGTCTGTTTGGAGTAGTGCCACCCCATCCAAGACCAAAGGTGGCAATTCTCCCTGAGCCAACGAACCCTAAACCCAGAGCCATTCGATCTTACAACGGTTTAGTTTCAATGCATTGCTCCCCATTCAGCCTCTAACAGCCTCCAGACACTGCGAGAGGGAGGACACAACAACACTTAACTCACCACGGGCCGAGACATACAGCTGAGGATCATCAGCATATTGGTGATACCTCAGTCCATGTTGATGGATAATCTCACCCAGCAGCTTCATATAAATGTTGAACAAGAGCAGAGAGAATACCAAGCCCTGCAGAACCCCATAAAGCAGTGGGCGAGGGCTGGATCTCTCCCCTCCTATCAACACTGACTGAGAGCAGCTGCAGAAGAAGGTCGTGAACCAAGACAGCACAAGGCCTCCCACTCCCATCTCCCGAAGCCACCCCAGAAGAATCCCATGGTCAGTGGTATCAAAAGCCGTTGAGAGGTCAAGTAGAGCAAGGAGGGATGCACTACCCCCATCCCGCTCCCTCCAGAGATCCTCCAAAAGTGCAACCAATGCTGTTTCTGTCCCAAATCCAGGCCTGAATCCTGACTGGTAGTGGTCAAGATAATCCATTTCATCCAGAAACCTCTGGAGCTGCTGCATGACCACCTTCTCAACAACCTTTCCCAAAAAGGGAAGACTGGAGACAGGTCGGAAATTATCCAACCAGGTGGAGTCCAGTGATGGTTTCTTAAGAAGAGGGCAGACCACAGTCTCCTTAAAGTGGCTGGGGCACCATCTCCTCCTGTAGAGAAGCATTAATCACCACCGGAGTCAACCTGCCTGTCACCTCCTTTCACAAGCCAGGAGGGTCATGGGTCTAAAACACAGATGCTTGCAGGCATACTCCCTAGGATCCTCTCCGCTTCCTCAGAAGCAACAGGGTCAAACGGTTCCCAGATAGCACGGCATGAACCTGCCTCAGGAGGTTCCAATGGACCAGCAACCACGCCGGCATCTAACTGGGAATGAAGTTGGGCGATTTTGTCTTCCAGAAAATCCACAAATTCCTCAGCGCGCCCCTTCAGGTGGACCTCAATCTGTTCCTTCCCTAGGAAGATACAACTCACCTTAAAGAGGGTCGCTGGGCAATTATTATTATGATTGTTATTATGATTGTTTTATAGGTAGTCCTCAATTTACAACAATTCATTTAGTGACCATTCAGAGTTAACAATAGTGAAAAAAGTGACTTATGACTTTTTCACACTTACGACCTTTGTAGCATCCCCATGATTATGTGATCAAAATTCAGATGCTTGGCAACTGGTTCATACTGATGACCTTTGCTGTGTCCCAAGGTCATGTGATCACTTTTTGCAATCTGTTGACAAGCAAAGTCAATGGGGAAGCCAGATTCACTTAACAACTGTGTTACTAACTTATCAACTGTAATGATTCACTTAACAACTATGTCAAGAAATGTCATAAAATGGGGCAAAACTCACTTAACAAATATCTCACCTAACAACAGTAATTTTGGGCTCAATTGTGGTCATAAGTCGAGGACTACCTGTACTTGCTCATTGTCCATTAAAACACCATATGACTGTAAGCTTAAGTCCTTGAAGGTCCATTTGTCTCCTATCATTTCTGCTTGTCCTATACAGTATGATATAGTTAGCTCACTCTGGGTCCTGTCAATGAAGCAATGGCATCTAATAGAGCCCCAGAAAGTAGGCTTTCTCTGTTGTAGAATTAGTCCTCTGGAAGACTATCTTGCTAGAGTTTTATATTGATCCTCTCCCCTGCCTCTTTAGCAGCCGTTTAAAAAGCATGAAATCATGGACCTTAGAGTCTACTGCATAGATTCTAAATTATAGTCCCACTGAAAGATAACTATTTTTGCCTGATATCTTCCAACTATGCCAGCAAACATTTAATAATGAAAACAATGTCTGCCTGTTATGTCTACCACATTGATAGATAGATAATACATAACTGGCATTAATCTGAAGAAGGAGCTTATTGTACATATGCAGTTGCCCTGCAGGATTCCTTTCATTAGAACAAGAAATCTAGTCAATTTATGTTCGAAGGATGGCTAGAACTGTATTTCAGATCAATGGGAAGTAGACAAAGCATATTTGCAGATTTCCAGACTAATATAAATCACCGATTTTTTAAAAAGGTTTTGTAAGACTCTGCTATGCTTTATAAACGTTTCCTTTGAATCAAGCTTAACTCCTAGTGGATAGATCTGTTTTTTGCAACAGTATAGAAGTGTTTTGTCATGTCCTAATCCAGGAGTGTCAAACTGGTGGCCCGCATCATGTGCAGCCCATGCCAACCCGGCTCCCCAAAGCCAAAACACATCATGATATTGTCATGTGACATCACATGACACGATCGAGTTTGATACCCATGGCCTAGTCCATATCCTTGGAATTCTCAAGCAGTTTTCCATCTAGGTACCGTACTGACCAGGACTGACACTGTTAACTTCCAATCCTAGACAAGGCTGGCCAGCTTAAAATGGAGAAACTCCCACATGTGACAACTTCATTGTCTTCTATACTATCTCTCATATCTAACTATTTCTTTGTCTTACTCTCTTCTTGCTGTAAATGGTTTAAGTTGTAAGGTTTTTTTTAATGATGTGAGAAAGAATTTTGCAATAGCTGGAGAAAATGCCAAAAGGATGTTTCGTTCCAT